TGTGTGTGTGTGTGTGTGTGTGTGTGTGTGTGTGTGTGTGTGTGTGTGTATTTCATTAAAAATTATATATTTTGTGTTTTCTACTAGTTGATTAAGCCCTCTTATACCCAGTTCTGCTTTCAGTTGCATGCCTGTGAGTCTTAAAGTGAAAGACTTTTGTTTCACAACCTCTGGGAATACCTTGCAGTTGCAGAATATGAGATTTTAGAGGCTGAAACTAACCTGGTAGAAATTCAAATCCATCTTTTATCTTTTAGATAAAAGCCTTTGAAATCCTTTTAGTGTGAAGTTATCAGCAGGCTTGATTCTCCTGTAACCTCATTACTAACCCAAGGATTATTCAGAATACGGAGAGCAATGCTTTGTGGCTGAAACTCCTTTTTTATCAATCCTACAGCCCCGTGATAAGCCACATGTGGTCCACCTCGTCCTGCTTGGGAAATGCTACCTGTGTGCCCCCCACTCGCCTTGGAGATCACCATACACATTCAAGGCTCTCCTAAGTTGCGTTCTAAAGAAATCTGTTCAATTTTATTTGAATATTTCCAAAACTTATTTAACTGTAGAAGCTTTTTTTTTTTTAATGTTAACATTTCATAACTCACCTAGGGGTTTTTGTAAGATAAGAAGTAGAATGGATTAATGCTTCAGATCTAAGGTAGCTGCTGCTACAAGTAATGGGGTGTTCTTAAAATATCTTTGTTTCACGGGTTAGATATGGCAAGTGTAAGAAAATTTTTTATCTAGCCTCATCGCTGATCATTTTTCTCTCCCCAGGATGGCAAGAATTAGCTTATTAGGTACTGGGCTTTTGCATATTTCCCTGAAAAAAAAAAAAAGCCATTAGTTATCTCTGCAGTGGAATAAATTTCCAATTAATAAATTAAAAGAGAGTTTATTATGGACACAAAAGTAAGAACAAAAAGTAGTTATATCAAGTTCACCAATTCTTATTCAGGGCTTACTGAAGACAGGAGAATTTAATGCTTGGGGGACAAACCCAGTTTCCAAAACTGAAACCATGTAGTGGTTTACTTATTCCATAAATGTTTGATCTTATCTGCTCAGATTTACCTTTGGAGCAATAAAACCTCTGGCAGCTCCTCCTGGTTGTCTGCGTGAAGAGGAGACAGGAGATAAGGGCATTCCTGTCTTTAATGGTTTCATGAACATCTGAAGGTGCTCCGGGTGGGAAAGGTATACTTGTCATGACCGTAAATGTCCAAGTCTGGTACCAAAGAGGTCAACTAGTCCACTTTGGGAAATGTGGTAAATCTCTCAGACTACTGGTCTCCATTTGCTAAAACCTGTCACAGGCTTAAAAAAATCAGAGATATGCCACCTCCTTGGCATCAAAAAAACAGTCACTCCAATTTTAAAATATTTTAGGACTTTGGGAGAATCATTGCCTGGTGCAAAACTTCCAACCTTTCCTATGAGCTCATAGGGTTGCCTTACATACTGCACTCGCAAAGAGCTCCCCAGGACCCTGAGCTAGCTAGGGCTCCTTGACTTGATTCCCATTGACAAAATTCTGGTCAGGGTGCACTGTGGGGATAGCATTTGGGGGAGGGCATTGACTAAACTCAGCCGTAGCACACTCCCCAATAGTGTACCTATCAAGAAAATCTGTCCTTGGCAAGACTCAGTCAGAGGTCACTCAGGTTCCTGTCAGGTGGGAGTGTTTGGGAAGATTGTTAAAAACCCTGAATTTTCCTAACTCTCAAGATGTGTCAATGTGGTCTGTATTAGCTCATTCTCAAGGCCTGAAATTCTTAAGCTTCTTTCTTTGGACTTTAGTACTTTGGTTCAAAGCTGCCAAAATTGTGACAGAATCTGGTGGGGGGAATTTTTATTGCCTAATAAATAACATCATAGAAGGTCATAATTCCACATTAGCCACTAAATATCCAAAATGTATAAAGCATGCAAAATTGAGTCCAAGATATGGATGAAAAACAGCTTGGTGACATTTCTTAAGAATTATTCATTTTCTTTTTCAATCTGAAATTGGATCAGGAACATTTTCCTAAATCCCAGGCTTAGAAAGCTGAACACTGCCTAGAGGTCTTAAAGAATTACTTTGACAAAGCCATTTTTCTTTGGTCTTTAAATTAGAAGTAGAAAAATTCTCCATGGTAGTTTGGGAAAAATCTTAAGTTTTTGGATTCCTAAGACTTTGAGGGATGTCTAGAAACTTACATCATGATCCGTCTACATCTGCCATCCTAGAAATCATACCAGGGAGAAATGATTCTCCTTCATTTCCACACCTTCATTGTGGGGTTAAATTCTAGGATCTAGCTATACTTATTGTCAAGAAGTTCTTTCTTTTGGATAAAGTCATTTTCTCAAGATACAATGAATCTACTTTTAATTGTTCAGCCCTTACATGGGAATAGCTATTTCCAAAACACACATGCACACACACACACACACACACACACACACACACACACACACACAAAACACACACCCAGCTTCTGCTATAGCCTTTTAATTCCTTGAAGACCATTGTTACCTGCCTAACTTCTTTATTCTTTAACCTGTATTCATTGAACTTTTTCACCCCTTTATCTTCCTGAAAATTGCGGACTCTCGCATCCTAATCATCCCTCCAAGCCTCTCATCCCCCAAAATAAAAATCAATACAGTGGGAAAATTTTTTTGAAAGACAAAGAATGACACCATTATATCTTGACTTATGGGGATGATGACAGGCAGAGAGACCAGTGTTCTTCAGAAGGCTCTCCTCCTACTGTGCAGAAGTGCATCTCTCCAAGGACGTCTTTGGGATTGGACAGAAACTCAACACAGTGTCCGTCTCATGTGCTGTTAAATCTCTTCAAGACTTGTAGTGTTGACACTCCTGTTGTTTCCCTTCCAGGCAGGTTGGGCTAACATTTCCCATCTCAATTGAAACATATTTTCTCTGTTGACAGAGACCAGATACTGCTACACTCAGCATACAATGGAAGTCACAGGAAACAGCATCTCTGTCACCAAACGCTGCGTCCCACTGGAAGAGTGCTTGTCCACTGGCTGCAGAGATTCTGAACATGAAGGCCACAAGGTCTGGGCAACAAAGCAAGTGATGGGTACAGCACAGTCAGCCTTCCTCTCCTGCAGATGTGTACCAGTGCTCATGAGCAAATTCTCACTCCCTGATATAGCCTGTCTTTTGATGGTCTTTATACCAATGATGGGAAGATTCTCCTTTCCTGTTTGCTCTAAGAGGATAAATTTATATCGGAGCATAGGAAAGCCCATATAAATTATCCAAACACAACACCAAGAGGGTATTGAAAATTACCGTAAGCCCTTTCTTTACTCAGAAGAAAGTAATCAAGCCACCAGAAGGATGAGGAATTAGGGAAGTGTTATGTCCTCAATGGTAATGCAGACGTAGCAACAATTCATTCTGCTGAGGATGGCCACAGTAGTTTAGCTTTGACAACTATCTGTGAAGTGAGGCTCCTGTCTTCATTGGAATGCTGACTGGGGGAAGGCATCCCTTGGGTCCTGAATCATTTGAGTAGGTGATCTGAGAACCATCTCCTTGTGGGTTTACTCCCATCTGGTGCCTATACAGAAGCACTGAGTGTTAAATGAACTTCAAGTGCAGCCTTGAAGAAGAATATGAAGGACCAGAGGAAGGCAGCCTGACTATGGTTGGAATGGGGAATGCCCCTGACTCTTCCTGCTGGCTGTTCAGATCTAGCTCCACATATAATCTTGTATATCAGGCCTTCGCCTTTATTTGGAGTTGGCTCGCTTCTCCCCTTCTGGCTGCCTTCCTGGTGCTCAGAGGCAACTTCTGCTCTCAAAACTCTGGAACGCCATGTTTAGTAGCATTTAGTAGAAGATACCTGATTTTCAAGCAACTTGTGAAATACACTAGGAATTCAGATTTAAAATATAATCTGCTGACTTGATCCTGGTTTGAAATGTAAAAGGTAAACCAAGGGTTTTATCTCACTCTCCACCCCACCACCAGCAAGCTAGGCTCTCAGGCTTTATTTTGGCTAGTTTACCATGGAAAAATTTAAAGATCAGAGAAGTGACATCATATGCTCAGGTCACAGAACTGGTAATTCTGTCTGACAGCATTCAGGCTCACTTCCGACCTTCAGTTTCTCTCCTCAAGATTATCAGTTTCCCTCCTCAAGATGTCCTCCTAGCCCATGTCAACTGTGACCAGCCTCAGATCCTTGCAGGATAATGACTAAATAGGATATTGACCATCAGAGAATTTTTTGAGTACTACTGTGCATACGGATCAGTTGGGGATCTTGTTAAAATGCGGATTCTGATTCACTAAATTTGGAGTGAGGTTTGAGATTCTGCATTTCTAAGAGGCTCCCAGGTGATGCTGAAGCTACTGGTCTGTACTTTGTGTAGCCATGGCCCCAAATAATTTCAGCCAACAATCCTTTAGGTTTCTTTCTTTCCTACAGTCTACGAATAAGGTAGTATAAAGCAGGAATAATTCCATTAATGAAAACCCTCCAAATTTTAACTCACGCACAAGAATGGCAGTGGTTATATAGACAATTCTAATGAAAGTAAATAGTTAATTTTAAGTTGGATTGTTTTCATTTCACTTACACTGTGGAAATTTGGCAAGTGAAAGTTTACCCTCAGAATGGTGTCTTCAAGTAGTCAGAAGGGGTTTGAGATAGTAGGGTATTATAATTCCTATTTCACAGATGAAAAAGCTGAGACCTAGGAAGGTTGTAGAATCATGTAATAACCACCTGGTGGGATGTCAAAAACAGAACTCGTGTTCCTTGAAGCTTAGTCCAGAGGGTTTCCACGTTGATCACATTGCTTCCAGATGAAATTTCATCCCACTTCCTTAAATGCAGGGTTGGTGCCTCTTTTGTGGAACAGGTAGTTCTCGTTTCAGTCTGACTGTGAGGGAGACCGTTCCTTCTAAAAATCCTTGCCTCCTTCCAAGATCTGCCAGCTTCTCATCAGCCTTCTGTTTCTCTTCCTTTCTTTCAGGTCTGCACTTCCTGTTGCGAAGGAAATATCTGTAACTTGCCACTCCCCCGAAATGAAACTGATGCCACATTTGCCACAACGTCACCCATAAATCAGACAAATGGGCACCCACACTTCATGTCAGTGATGGTGTCCTGTTTGTGGATGTGGTTGGGACTCACATTATAGCAGCTCCAAGGTGCCATGTATAGTAGCAGTCCATGGAGATTTCCCTGGTCCATGGTCCATGGTCATTGCATGAGTCGTTGGCTTGACAATAGTTAGACATGTGAAAACATGACACTCACAGATGTCTTCACAGCCAAACATTTCCACCTACCATGAGGAACAAGCATTGCTTCAGTGTAGTCATTCCAAGCCCAAGACCTCATCAAAGCCAGCCTGCCCCCAAACAAACCCTGAGTCGTATACGACAAAACTTTCTTTTCACTCCAGGAAATAAGTCTGCATTTATTGAGATCTGAGGCTCTTAATTTGGAATACATGCATGATCCATAGGGGGTCCTGGGATCCTCTGAGATGTTAGATAATATGTTATACAGACATGCATAGATATGTGTTCTTCAGGAGAAAGGTGAAGGACCACTGGTTTAAATATAATTATGAATTTATTTATAGCTTTAGAATTGTAAAACTTTGATTCTGAAATGAATGGACTATTTCCTTGGAGATTCTGACTGAGTCAGAATCTCTGGAAAAGTAGTAAGCAGTTGTCCAACTTAATTTTCCCAACATTCTTCTCCCAGTGGTGGGAATCAAAGTCCCTCTGCTCTGTGCAAGAAATAAAAACCAATCATAAGTTTGTTGCATAGGGGGAGGGGTAGCTGGAGAAGGATCTTTCCCAACTTAATGGAACTAGCATCCGCAAAGTAGCTGTGTATCCTTTCATTATAATTGGTGAGATTGGCCTTGATTTGGAACCTCGTTGTGCTCTATGAGATCCTGAATTCTACCTGGGCCAAAGGGTATCCTAAGAGTCCTAAAGCAGGAAGGGGTTTTCTCCACTCATGAGGTTCTATTCAGGCATAGCTAGAATAGAAATAGGATTTCAGAATGAAAGGAGAGAGATATGTGGAGGTTGACCCAAGTTCGCTATGAGGGCCCAGTCAGTGGCTTAGCCAGATCTCCCATCTGCACCTCATATTGCCAGAGAGCACTCCCGGGTTCTTCCTCTTTCAAATCCCCAGTGACTTTAGTGAGTGAGAAGTGAGAAGTGAGTGAGAAGGTTCTGCATCACATTATCTCAAGATTGATAGGGAAAGAAGACATAATATCCTAAGACAAGAAATAGGTGGCAAGTCGGGTGATGGTGAGACTAGTAAGAAGACCCAGTGGGAATTTTTCTTTCATTTGGGTGATTGCTTTTGAAGTAGATGGTAAACTTTTGCCATCCTTCCTATACTTTTGGCCTGAGTTACAACTTGTTCTTCTTCTTTGTAAATCATTTATACAATATTTATTTTTGTATGGCATAACTAGAAACTTAAATATATTGTAAAATATTCTTTATTCTAAATGAAATGACCAAATGAGAATACTTATTTTCAATAGTGGTAGAGCTTATGATATATGTTTTTTCAAAGTTATCTATAATATTTGCACCAGTGTTGAAAAACAATTAACTTATGTTTGAGTGAGAGGAATGCATTGGCCTTAAGGGTTTTTGCTCATGGTTTCTTCCATGGTATTGTCCCAGAAGTATTCAGGTGGTGATCATCACTGGTATGAGTTTCTCTGCAGGGTTATGGAGTATATCGGCATGAAATTTGGTGGAGCCATCATTGTCGGGGTCCATCTGCCCTACACAGGAAAATGTGTGTGGCTTATAATATGAGACCCCCTCAGGGATTACCAGATATAAACTGACAATGGTAACTCTGATATAAAATAATCTAAATTGCATCAAATGGCCTTAAATCAGTTTGGTAGGCTTATCAATACATTGCTTGTAATTGGGGTGAGGGAAGTAGAGGGAGAGAAAATAAGACACTTACTAAGTACCTTTTATGTGGCAGGCACTATGCTAAGCACTATACATATATATATATATATATATATATATTCATATAAAACCTGCAAGCACCCTCTAGGGAATATTACTAGTATTTTCACACTACAGATGAAGGTACCAAGGCTCTAAGAAGCTTAAAAAAAGGAAGCCTTTTCCTTCCAATTTAGGTCTTATAGGTTGAGGTGGGGTTGAAGAGGGAGGGGAAGATGGAATTACCACCCCTAGGAAAACTTCCAGACCTGACCACAGGAATGTCCATCTGCTCATGTGGAGTTTGCCCAGTCCTGCTTCTAAAGGACACCATTTGTGTGTGTCCTCTAGATGGTGTTTTTTCTTCCAGGGGTGGAGGGTACAGCTTCCTAGTTCATTCCTCTTGCTAAAAGAGGTGGCAGGTTAACTGCTGTAAATGCTCTAAGACAGTGAAACTTGACGTTGTACATATCTACAAGTACCATTTTTGCACATGGCCACTCTCCACTGATAACTGCCAAGTACTGCACGCAATGTGGGTAAGAGACAAAGGCCAAATGTTGGTTCTTAATGAGAAAGCGACCATGCCAGAGCCTCCCTGTCTGGTGTGAGGGATCAGGTCCCCAGTGATGTGAACTCATCTGCCACCCGAGGGAATCACTACAAACTCTACACAGATGTGACCACGCGCACCTCGTGTGCCTATCACAATGGCTGGTGTTTCATTCTCTTGAAAGAAAGTGGTTTTCTCACCATCCCCAGCCTCAAGGAGCCAAGGAAGGCCCATTCATGTGGAAGGCCCAGGACTGGTCATCCGTGTAACTTTTCTACTACATTAAACTTTCCATTAAATCCCACGGTTGGTGACGGCTTGAAGTGCAAACAGCCGTGATATGTACATTAACCTATGTGCCACTTATTTATTTTCAGACTCCCCATTGCATTTGTGTCAATACGGGATGAATACCTAAACTTTGTAAATATTGTACATTTTGTAAATCAATGAATAAAGGTTTTAAGTGTATCTCACCAGGCTCCTCCCTGCAAATGTTCATGTCAGCCAGTGATTAAGGCACTCAGGTTATGTATAAGGCGTAGGGCTCAGGATCACAGGGAACTTCCTTCCAAGAGTTCATTTTCTTGTTGTGTAGGCAAGAAATACATGCATGAGAAGATACAAGACAATTCACTCACACCAAATGATACATGTAGGCACTAAGTGCCCCAGAAAATCAAAGAGGGAAAGATTACCAGACTTTTTAATCAGGTCTGCAGTTCCCCTAGAGCATTTTCTTTGTTAAATCAGGAAAAATAAAAGTGTGTGTGCATGTATGTTTCTAAATACTATCCCATTAACTCTTAATTTTTAAATCTCCTTCCGTTCTGTTAGTGATGATAAAAATAGAAAGTATTTTCTGTTGATGGTTTCTTCTGCAACAGGAAACAAACATCTGAATAGTATAAATGTTTATACAGTAAATTCATTTTATTTTTCATAGTAAAATTATAGATATTGAAAGTGACTTTGAAAAATCTCAGTTTGTGATCTCTGGTCATTCTCATTTATTTATTTATTTATTTATTTATTATTTTTAAATTGAGGCATATTGACATATAACATTTTATTAGTCTCGTGTCTGCAATATAATGATTTGGCATTTTTATACATTGTGTAATGACCACCATAATTCTAGTTAACATCTGTCACCTTACATAGTTAGAAGTGCTTTTTTCTTCTGATAGGAATTTTTAAGATTTTCTCTCTTAGTATCTTTCAAATATGCAGTACAGTATTATTAGCTATAGTAACTATGCTGTACAACCCCATGACTTACTTATTCTATAACTAGAATTTTGACCCCTTCCACCCATTTCCCCATGCCCCTCCACTTTTGGCAACCACAAGTCTACTCACTGTATCTATGGGCTTGGTTTTTTACTTGCGTGTTTTTCAGATTCCACATATAAGTGAAATCATATGGTATTTGTCTTTCTCTGACTTATTTCACTTAGCATAATGCCCTCAAGTTCCTATCATGTTGTCACAAATGGTAAGATTTCATTATTTTTATGGGTGAATAATATATATATATATTATATTTATGGGTGAATAATAATATATATTATATATGTATCTTCTTTATCCAATTACACATTAATGGGCACTGAAGTTGTTTCCATATTTTGGCTATTATAAATAAGGTTTCAGTGATCATGGTGGGGGCAGAGGGAGGAGGCACATAAGTCTTTTGGAGTTAGTGTTTTTATTTTCTTTGGGTAAATACCCAAAAGTCGAATTGCTGAGTCATGGCATTTCTATTTTTAAGTTTTTGAGGAAATTATATACTGTTTTTCCACGTGGCTGTACCAATTTACCTTCCTACCAACAGTGCACAAGGGTTCCCTTTTCTCTACATCCTTGCCAACATGTGTTATTTCTTGTCCTTTTGATAATAGCCATTCCGACATTTACAAGTTGATATCTCATTGTGCTTTTGATTGGCATTTCCCTAATGATTAATGATGTTGAGCATCTTTTCATGTGTTGGTTGATCATCAGTGTATTTTTTATGTAAAAATGTCTATTCAGGTCCCACCATGCCCCATTTTTAATCAGGTTTTTTGGGATTAAGTTGTATAAATTCTTTTATATTTTAGATATTGATACTCCTGATTGGAAGTATCCTTTGCAAGTAACTTCTCCCATTCTGTAGTCTGCCTTTTTATATTTTGATGGTTTTCTTCACTGTGCAGAAGCTTCCTTGTTTGATATAGTCCCAACTGTTTATTTTTGCTTTTGTTGCCCTTGCCTGAAGAGACCGATCCAAAAATATATTGCTTAGACTGATGTCTAAGAGTTTACTGGCTATGTTTTCTTTTAGGAGTTTTATGGTTTGGTGTCTTACATTAGGTCTTTAATCCATTTTGAGTTTATTTTTGTGTATGGTGTGAGGCAGTGATCCAGTTCCATTCTTTTGCATGTAGCTGTTCAGTTTTCCCCGTACCATTTATTGAAGAGACTGTCTTTTCCCTAGTATATAGTCTCACCTCCTCTGTTGTAGATTAATTGACCATATGGGCATGCATTTGTTTCTGGGCTGTCTGTTTTGTTCCATTGATTTATGTGTGTATTTTTGTGCCCATACTATACGATTTTGATTACTATAGCTTTGAAATCAAGGGGCATGATGCCTTCAGCTTTGTTCTCCTTTCTCAAGATTGCTTTTGCTACTCAGGGTCTTTTGTGGTTCCATATACATTTTAGGATTGCATGTTCTATTTCTATGAAGAATGCCACTAAAATTTTGATAGGAATTGCACTGGGTTTCTAGCTTGTTTTGGGTAGTATGGACATTTTAACAATATTGATTTTTCCAATCCATGAGCACAGAATATCTTTTCTTTTTTGTGTGTGTATTCAATTTCTTTTATTAATGTCTTGTAGTTTTCTCTGTATGGGTCTTTCACCTCCTTGGTTAAGTTTATTCCTAGGTATTTTATTCTTTTTGATGCAGTTGTAAGTGGGATTGTTTTCTTAATTTTTCTTTCTGATAGTTCTTTATTAGTATATGGAAATGTAATAGATTTTCATATGTTGATTTTGTATCCTGCAACTCTATTGTTTTATTCTAAAAGTTTTTTTTTTTTTTTTTTTTTGGTAGAGTCTTTAAGGTTTTCAATATAGTATCATGTC